ATGTGGTAATACCCTGGAAACTCCTATATCAAACCCAGTCAAAGTGTGTAACCACCCTCATTTCTCAAAATGAAAGATAACATTTCAACTGATTTAAGTGTTCATGCGTATTTCTTACAATCTCACTCACAGAGCCCACATGTCTTTTGGTCAGCGCCAACGCATGCGCTGTGAAAAAGTCCTAAAACCTTGGACTAGAAATCGATTATTCCAGAGCTCTTTGTCTTCGTGCTGATCAAAAGACACGTGGGCTCTTGGAACGAGATTGTATTTCTTAAAAATCAAACCGTAAAAATCAAACTGTAACACAGTAATAGGCATATCATTTTTCCAAAGGTCATCTACCTTCTTTTTGCAAAACCCACACTTCTTTAAATAAAGTAAACATTTTTAACCTTGCTCCTTTTCACTCTTCAAAACTTCATCAATTGCATCTGGAAGGTCTAAAGAACCACTGAATATTTCTTTTAGATAGTCCTCATCGTGTTGTGGAAACATCTGACGAAGACATCTTATGCCATTCTGAAAACATTGGTAAAAAGAAAATGAAGCTATATTCTGATTACAAGGGTTATTTCATATATGACTGGTAAAATTTGCCTCGGTTATGTCCTAGTGATGTTGCCCTATTTTCAAATTTATCTGACACAGTTGATCTGGCAGTTTGATGAAAACATACAAAATATCTCATTTTGGCCGCATTGCAGTGTGATAACGTTTTGTTTGTTTGTTTGTTTGTGTTTTTGGTAGCATGTAATAGAATGTCTGGCTAAGAATTTTAGAGTAAGACAATACTAACAGCTCAAAATAACTTTTGACATCACACAAATACATGTAAATACCTCGTCATCTGTCTCAGATTGACAGGCAGGTTCTTTCACAGACGACACGCCCCTATTATCTGCAAGAATAGTACTAGGCCTTTCCACAGGGATGGCTTCAAATGTGTCTGAAATGTTTTCCAGTTCCTGTTCTTGCTGTTTGTTAAGACGGACATACAATTTGCCTTGACCACATAAGTTTTTAACGTGCTTAAAATCCCAGTTGTAGCCATCAGCTACAACAGGAGTAGAGACTCTTTTGCCGAGGACTTTAACAAATTCAAAATCATCCGGTGCAATGTCAGGTCTTTGTGTCTTCAACGCTCCGACGATTTTATTTCGCACGAGACGTTCGTCATCTGTGGTGACAAAATCCACTTCAGCATAGCACATTATCGTATCATTCTTTAAAAGATATTCGTTTGAAGAACCAGAATTTTCCAAGAGCACAACCGTTTTAACCACATCTTTGGGAAGAACATTTCCATAACGTGAAGCCCCCGACAATCGGGGTCTTTTAGGATACGCGCTAGTGGCGCCATTCTGAAACGACGTGCTGGCATTTCGTGTGAATGACGATCGATTGCTTCTTAAAATATCCCTGGCACGGTTTACAACCTGTCCAATTTCAGAGTTTAGCCGTTGGCTAGTTGTACTTGTACTTGTGTTCTGTGGGGAAGCTGTACATAACAAGTTTACGGCTAAAATAATTCGATTTGAGATCTGCTCTCGTCTGTTCATACATTTAAAGAAAGCATAAGCAAGCTAGGCGGTACACTGAAAAAAAATTAATTTACAACTACCTTCCAGTCTTCCTGTTTCCCCTGCATTTGCAGATCTATTGGTATTCGACTGCATATACTCCTCCAACGTTTGTCTCACCTCGGAACGAATTATTGACCGGTTCAAATCCATTTTCGTGAAGCTGAGTGAAGCTGTGAAAAAGCTGCGACAGAGTGCGACAGCAAAACAGACCGGGCTACGGCAGGCGAACCATTTTTGGCGCGAATCGATCCTATGCGACCAGGCCTAACAAGTACCACGTGACATTCTGGGATAAAAATATATTTTTTATCGAATGAAAATATTTTTACCCTATGAAAATATTCCATTGAATGGCAATATATTTTATCGAATGAAAACATTATATCAAATGAAAATTATTTTTATTGAAGAAAAACATTTTTTTTGTTTCAAATGAAAATATTTTTATCGAATGGAAATATATATTTTATCGAATGAAAATATATTTTTATCGCATAAGAATATTTTTATCGAATGAAAATATATTTTTATCGAATGAAAATAATTTTTATCGAATGCAAATATATTTTTATCGAATGAAAATAATTTTTATCGAATTTTACTACATTTCGGCAACCATAGTATTTCCCATTATTTTGCAAAATGGTGAAAATTGTCAAGTTTGATTGATGGCTCACAAATATAAAAACAGGACAATCATAAATATTTATGTTTGTACATAAAGATCTAGGTTTCTACCTTCACCCAGTGAATTATTTTTGTTGGCTTGAGATTTTGGAGAAATACTCGCATCATGAATTCATTGCATTTTTGGTACGGATGTTTGCGCATTTTTTAACAAAAACTTTAAACTCGTATAACCCTCTTAGAAATTAGTATCTAGATAAACTGTTTGGTCGGTGGGGGGGTCGTGTAGACTCGTCTGCATGATTTTCAGGTGGACACCGTGACGTTCTTAACATTATTCAGGCGAGCACGAAATTATGCTAAAGTGGGCGAGGATTTGGTTACAGCTGGTAACTGATTCCACATGTGGGCAATCATGGAAAAATAGGAGTTGTGCATGACAAGGCTGTTACATGGGGGCTGTTCGACATTTAAGCCACTGCCTCGTAAATTGTATTTAGTTAACCGCGGTGTAAAAAATTGGGAGATATAATTTGGGCCATCTAGTTTAAAACATTTAAAAAAATAGAATAAGCGATTACAGGGTACGTCTTTTTTCAAGCGTGTCCATAGCAGCCATTGCTAAGCAAAAGTCATAGGCAGCCGAATTATCATAGAGCTATGAATTACCAAATAGCATTCATACACAATGCGATTGTTAGCAAGCAGCCAAACGATGGCAAACGTAAAACTCCGCCAAGCAGCGTATATTACAAACAGCCGAACGGCAAACATAAGACTGACCGACTTAGAATGACTTAATTTTCCCGCGAAAAGCTTAAATAATTCGAAACTTCCATGAAGCCACGCGAAACTCTTCAACGTGCCATCAGAATAATAATTTCTGACTAATTCGTTCCTATGTCACTCAAACGTCAGAAATTACAGTTGGTGTTAGTAAATTGGGTGAACCAGTCTGTGCACTAATTTACTGATTCCCTCCGTTGAGTTACTGAATTGTGGTGAAGCAGTAAGTTTGGAGCATACACTTAACTGCTATAGCTTGTTAATCACATCGAACATCTGTCGAGTCTGCTTAGCACTCAAACTCAATTTTGCATGAATATTTTTGTTTGAGTTATTGATCTCCTTGTGCAAACACGGTGAGAATAATTTTTATCATTTATTTTATTATCTATTTTGTAAATGGTATGAAGTATATAAACCTAAAATATGCAGCCTTTGATTATAACCTTTCACGTTTTTCTCCTGACTGGCGTTTTATAAGTGGTCCTTAAGGCGATTGTTTTGTCTTTCTCCGAAAACTTGTGCACCGCGTCCCAGGTTGACAACATGCCATACTCTTTCCAGCCTCGTCAAGTAGTTCATACCGTACCGTGGGAATAAGTGTATCACTCAAGGTGAAAGTATGTGAAGGTGCGGGCTGTTGAGGCCACAAGTGTAGCAGTTGGCCTCAAATGTAATAACTAGCTTCAAGTTTCGTATTCCGGGAGCAGTTCTAACAAGAGGGAATCCATCGTGATCGAGGGGATTACTTTCCAGGTATTCAACTATCTCGTCTCTCAAAGTTTCAGGAGACCTTAAGATGCCAAGACCACTTAAGTGATGTGTCAGAGCTGCAAATTGGCAACCTCCATTTCCAGGGGGATTGTACGTAATTACAAATCCTTGATCTTCTATTATTTTCCCGTAGTCTTCCTTTTCCACAGGGATAAGAAATTTAGCACGGTGGCTTTCTTTTTGTTTTTTTGAAAGCCTGGCCACTCTTTGTTTGTTTTTCTCTTTTCGTAAGGTTAAACTCGTTACATCATCAACTGCCAGCCACTTCTCTTTTTTTTCGGCTTTCGGGGGACGTGTACGACACTTTATAAAGGTGCCTCTTTAAATTTCTCTTTTCAATGACCGCCTCAGTAACGCAACGCTTCTTTTGAAGCCGTCCTTTACCACGAAGGCGCACGTACACTTTCTCCCCGACAGCATATTTTGAGGGTGGATTGGTTCTTGCATACACCTGTTTCATTCTTCTGTCACACCTTGCTGTGGCGGTGTGGGCGTCCTTTCTAACAACTGATACGTGTTTTTGTCGGCGCTTTCGATCTGTCTTAAGCAGTTCTTTTTCCATTCCTGGAGTCGATGTCCTGTCAAGTGAATTACTTCTTCGAGCGAAGTAGACCTCAAAAGGTGTCTTGTATCCTTATACCTCTTTTGGGTCTTCATTTAGAATTCGCTGATAATTACTCAGATTTTCCGCCCAGTTAACGCCTTTTCTTCCCATTTTTAAGAAGTCATAGTCTATCTTTGATCTAAGTGACCCGTGGCTTCTCCCAACCTTCCCTTGTGATTGTGGATGGAAAGACCGACTGTATATTAGCTTTATGTTCATGCGGCGGCATAGTCTTTTCACAGCACCCTTAAATTCCCCGCCTTGATCACTTTGAATTACGCACGGTGGCCTGTGCTCTAAATAAATATTTTCCAGTTCGTCAGATATGACCTTGCTACTTTTTTCTCTAACTGCACGCAACCAGACGAACCGACTAAAAACGTCCATTACTGATAATACATACCGGTATGATTTCTTATTTAGAGACTGTTCCTCCCTTGCCCATGTTCATTAAATCCACCTGATGCCTCGTTTGAACATCTTGAGCACGAATGGGTTTGAGTGTAGCCTTGTTGAGACATTTTGCATTTTTTCCATAGTGAAGCGTATTAGAGATCAGGATGTTTTGAACTTTAGCTCGGCTTAGCCCCACAAACGTATGTCGCAAGTTGCTCACTAGCTTTCTTGCGCCTGATCATTTAGTGCGCTCAAATTCTTCTGTCACAAGTCTATCGACTTCAGAGAGTCGACGCATTCGACGTCCCTGGTAACACAGCACATCTTTACCTTTTTCCTTTTGGACGGTTATCTCTCCCTCCGCTCCCCAGTATTTTACATACGCTGATCTTTCTGCGCTGCTTCTTTGTTTTACCGGCGGAAGAGGCTTCCCATTAGCAGTCTTGATCACACAAGCGTAAATTTCATCTGATACTGCCGTTGGCTTTCGCTTACCTCGCACTTTCCTTGCAAGACAAATGTTAACTGACACAAACCAGATTAAGGTAAAAACGACGAAAACTCGTAGCAATTGCATCTTTTCGGGTTTTCCCAGCTAATTCTCACCGCTGGCCTACTACAAGCTATTTATAAATTCCTAGGCGTATAGACTATGTTGAAGCGTCTGCATGCTGTCTAGACATCAAGTAACCTGGGGTTGGGAAGTTTTCTACCTTTCGCATTTTTTGAATAAATCTCTTTTATTGGTTTTTGTCTCAAAGCGAAATGCGTCTATTCTGAGCCCTCCGTTTATACGGATTTCTTTTTGATAGACATTTTTTTAGTGATAATACTTTTTGTAGGCTGTTTTCGTTTGCCGCGGCTTCGCAAAAATCGTTTTTTGTTGCATGCTTTGAATAGGCATCCATTGTGAGGTCATTATCTCGCCTTCGCCTCTTTTTGATGTTTTAAGTCATTTGTTTTCACTGACCTTTTTTTCGTGGAGGCTTGCTATGGTTTTGAGACATTGAAAAAGAGTTTCTTTAGTTTACGGAATCATTGTTACATGCTGATAGTGAATAGACCCTGTCAGTGGTTTTCTTTCACAGACGAAGGTGAAGGACGCGCTAACTATTAGAATGTTGATTACTTAGTAATGTACAAATGTTAAACTTATAAGATTTTTCCACGGTCGCGATATGCATGGAATGTTACCAAGACGGAGTATGGGTAATAGGTAATGGAAATGGGAAATGGAAAATTGAAAGGGAAAATGAAAATCGGAAATTAAAATAGAAATGTAAAAAAAAGTCAATTATTAAAAAGAAATGAATTCTTTCGCTAATGTGTTATCCTTTTAAAGAACAATAGATTAGAAAAATCATTTTCCTTTTTTATCGTGCGCGTATCAAAGAATGAAAGATAATAACGTGCAGGGTGAATCGAAATCCAAACTTTAAAGATTCTTCTTCCATTTTATAACAAAGATAACAAATTCCTTGAACTATAAAATGGAGAGGGAATACATAGTATGTGGGCGGTTTTCCAGTAATTTCAAGACGGATGACTATAAATACTACTAAAGTAATAGAGGATTTATATAGCCTCATCTAAACGCCGGGGGGGGGGGGGGGGGGTGTGGAGAATTGGAGACAGTTATGCAAACCCGAGATGCAGCCGAGGGTTTGCATAAAATTCAAGAGAATACTCCCAAAATGCTCCGCAAGAATATTTGTTCAACCTATTTTTTCATATCCGGCTTAACGCGACAGCCGTTACGTGATAGCCGTTACGTGATAGCTTTGAAGATAAAAATGATAAAAATACTACCCGTGACGGTGAAGGAAAGAGAAACGAAAAGAAAAGTTTGATTAGTGTTTGCACTCAACCAAATGTGAGCGAGCTGAGCCACTTTGGGAAACTAACAGATATTCTGATTTAACAAATCATCCGTTTTAAAACAACTTGAAAACCGCTCACCTAG